CGTTAGTTTTGTACGTGGTTGAGGCTTCTCGGCTTTTCACGAGGCAAGCAGCGGCTTTCGCTTTGGTCAGTTGGCGTTGCGCTGTGCCGTGCCTGCGTGCCTTATCTTTCCCTGAGCACGTGCATGCATAACGCCAGCGAAACCTTAGGTTCTTGCCCCCGAATTATTTTCAGAGTAAACTAATTTTTTGTCATTTGTCGTCGCATGGTCGTTCATTTGTACGGCGAGGTGTGGACACAGATGGCTTTTGCAGTTTAACGCCTGTCATGGCTGCCGAGCGAGCAGAGAAGACTAGGCTAGAGAAATTGTCACGTGGTTTCGCGAGACTGCTGATGCCCCGTGCAATCAGACCGGAGTGCGAGGGAGTTTCGTGGCCGGAACTGGTGTGAAGAGGCAAGGCAGCATGAGGCCAGGTAGGTCTCCCCGGCCACCCCGCCATTTCACTCGTTCGCCTTCAACGCACGGTCGATATATCGATATCGATACGGAAATTCAGTGGCACCAGCATGCGTGTTCAGTAGCGCCACCCCATCGGCGTATTTAACGTCCGTTCTTCCAAGGCAAAACAACATCAGATACGTTTCGTTAAAGAAATGACTTGTGAAAGTTGTAGCCGAAATTCTGCGACATGTGTGTTTAGAAAATCGCATGATTTGGGCTTGAGGTGAGGTGCTTTGGACTGACTACAAACTGTCTAATGAGCCGGACTTTGTACTTTTGGAGATGGTACAAGCCCTGAGTTTGCTTTCAGGGATGAATTAAGGGCCAAGATCTGGACCCTGGGCCGCCCGATAGTGAACCAGGAGTCCCAGCCACGTCATTTTGCCAGGCTGGGAAATTGTATCGTTGAATAATACAGGAATCGGGGTCAGTGGAGCTGTCGTGATTAATGAAGTGCAACCGGAAGTGAAGCTCTTTTCGCTGATCGGGTTTCAGCTTGCCCAAGGCCGCATCGGCGTTGACAGCACAGCGAAGCCAGGTGGAGTAGTTTCATGCTTTGCTGCTTTGAAGAAGACTGCATGGCCCCAAAAGCGATGGTTACCCGAGACTGAGAAACAGATTTCAGCTGAAGAAGATCCAACTTTTAGAAGACGTCGAGGTCGTATTCTTGGAATTCTGAGTTCGTTTCTCGTCCTAAAGACCAGACATTTGACTCACTTTTCGTAACTTTCCTCAGTCCCTCCACTTTGATGATAATGCCATGGGAGCTCATAGCACCCGATGCTTCCGCGTTCGTTCCAGCTCATCGTGCGCTGTGTGACGTAAGTTCTACCTGTGCGTGGTTCAACACTCGTCCTTTTTAAAACAGTCGTGCGTTGCCTTACGCTAGGAATTATTCTTGGAACACTTACGTATTATCAGCAGTTCTTGCGTCTTCATTCTGGTGTCCGATTAATCATGAGATAAGCCGATGTCATCTTGGCTGGCGTAACTCGACCTCGCCGCTTCACCCGCCCTGGTCCAGTCCTCTGTGCACTCAACTTGACTTTGCAGAAACAGAGCCGAAACTGTACTTGGGCGTGTGTTGTTGATGGTTCGTGTTTTATGGTAGTACTCGTTAGAATTGGGCTCCGAGAAGCTGTATCAGCTTTGGCCTCAGTTTTTCGCAGAAAATACGCAACATGGTGCATCCTCACCCCGAAGGAAGAGCATTTGGCGAGGAGACGTTTTGAAACCGCGAGAGACAAAGTGACCTGTAACAGTCGAGTATTCTATAATTTACGCTGGCTACTCGTTTTCAGTTATGATGATGATGAAATTATAGACGAGGTGGGCAGTTGGAGACGAGAAAATATTTCAATATTGGTCGCGCAGAACCTGGGGAGACCACTTACCGGACCACCGTAGGGTCATTGCGAAAGAGGCGGAGACCACCGGCTTCTCTGGACAGATTTCATGCAAGCTATTTAGTACGCTGATAGTTGCATCTGATTCTGTAATGTTAACCGGAAATTCTGGCTGGTTTATGTTACTGTTGGAATGCAGTGAGATTTCTGGCGGCTCTAACTTCGTACTTTGGTCTGTCGGGACGGATGTGTTTTGTCGTAGGGACTTTATAGAACGGAGGTTATCTGCTGACCTCTGAATGCTTTTGAGACATGTAGTTATTCGTACTGAAAATAGCCGTTGGATTTTGTCCACGAAACCACGCACTTCTGGTCATCAGTTGCGTATAAACAAAACTTATACAAAAGTATGTTTGTTAATTTCCTGTCTGAAGCATTTTCTATTCGGAATAGAGTAAAATATGGAGACCTTGTGTCTGCTATGATTTTCAACTTCGAAAATTGCAAAAAGATTTTTAAAATTGTAAATGTATTGAAGATTGGTTACAATTTCTTAAAAATAAAAATTTCGATGGTTGTATTAATGAACATTTTCAAAAAAAATCTAAAAATTACAAACAATTTCAAAATTGACTAGAATCTCTAAAAATTAAAAATTTTCGAAAATGTTCAATATAAGCATTTTTTTTGAAAATGAAAAAAATCAAATTTTTTAAGTTTTAAACATTTTAAAAACTGGCTAAAATTAATTTTTTTTGAAAATTAAAAAATCCTTGGTTTTCATACGAGTCACGTAGGCAAGGATTTCGTTGTGTCATGCCATG